TCGTTGGTGTTATGATGCATGTAATAAAAACGAAATTTGTTCATCTACTGTGCAACACATATTGATATTCTGTACTTCCTATCTATTTCTGAGATCTACGTATAGAATGGGCGTTATGGCCAAAACCACACGCCTTCCGCAACTCTGAGGGGTGCAGATTTCGCTAGGTTACTCTGTCTATTATGATTCGACCACTACCGCGCAATATGAGCAGCTCATACAATTAACTAATTCCATCCCGTTATGATGTGCGCCTGGCGAAGCCAGGCCAGCTCGGCGAAGCCGAGCTAAAAAGAAGGAGGAGAGCTCGGCGTCAGCCGGGCGATCCGACTGGTAAATTATAAATTTAAAAGTCACAATAATGCCGAGTTTATGAGGAGAGAAGGTGGACACTATTATGTCAAAGTGTTTTCATTACTTGAGCTTCCACTAATCACTGGAAACGTTTCGGAGTGCACAACAAACACATTCCATTCTGGAAAGGAGCGCTCCGGCAACAGCTGCCTATTTCCGACCATTTTTTCTCCTGTACACACGTCTTTGCCTCTCTGTCGTCTAGTCCTTCCGGCCCATGCCGCACTCACAGCGCGTTTGCAAGGTGTAATGGTTGCACTTTGACAAATCAATATTAGAACTGCTATGCATGTCGCAGGCCTTCGACCTGGCGGAAAGGAAAACGCCTAAAGCGTTAACCCACTTTGGACAATCGTAAGCTCAAGTTTGTCGGTATAATTCTATGCAGTTTCATTGAGTTACTATTTGCGCAGATCAAAGGCAGCGTTACTGAGCCTAACAGTGTAGCAACTGATGGTATGCCGTAGTGAATATGACATCTGTGAGCAATTCCCTACACTTTTCGACCCATTACCAGTCAGCAGCCAATTCCATAGGTTTATCGGGCCTCAACAGATAGTTTTCGCTCGAAGGGGGGAGGGGGGGGGGGGGATTTGACACATTCAACGCCGCGTGAATTGTCAGCAGTACACGCGCATACTCCCGTTCGCGCATTTGTGTATTGCCTACAATTCACATTTTGTGGATCAATTTCTTCCCAGCTAACCATCGCTTTGTGAATGATTATCGTTGAATATATGCTCAATACGTTTTCCTTATTCTACATTCCCTCTGGCTTGAGTAAGGTATTCATTAAAACTGTTTTATTTACTTCAAGATATATCAGTCCATAGAACGGTAGTTACACTTGATACAATACTCCTTAATCGATTCTTCTTCAGCTCTGCGAGCTTAGTTGGCTAGAAGTTCTGGCTGTTTTGTTCCTCATATCCGTTGGTTTCTATTCAAATCAGGAGAGTTCATCATTCCGAAACAAAAAAAATAGAAATCTAAATAATCTATCTAATAGAAAAAATAGAATTTGTTTCCTGATTGTCATCATAATCGTCTTCTGAGTTGTCCAAGTCACCTGATTCCTTTGTCACTGTACTAAAATGATTCATCAGAACTAAACATCCGCAACTTACATCTTTAGATTGAAGTGTTTAACCTAAACCGAGTTTTACCTTCTACTGAATAGCTTCACGCGAGAATTGAGCGCAAATGAAAGCAGTATGAGCGTGCCAACAAGGCCCATGCGGCACAAAGACTTCCGTTCGCGCGTTGTGTATTGCCCACAAAATCATGCACGCGGAGACGCAGGAAGTGTAAACGGGAGTCGCTGCGAAAACGCTCAATGTGCTAACTTCGAAAAGTGCCCCCTTTATGTTATTCTTCTGGCTAGAAATTTGGATCGCATCCCTTATTGCTTGCTGGAAACAAATGCCCATTGGAACTCGCATTAACTGCTTGCTTTTATGATGTATTGACAATGAACATGATCTCAACAGCTTTCGACAACATTATTGTGCGCACTGACGTTAAAGTGTGATACGACGAAGTCAAAACGCTTTCTCCGTCATACAGAAACCAATAACACTTGAGATCTGAACGACTAGTCAAAGTCTGGAAGACCGCCTGAGATCTGTAGAACATAATAGCAGCAGATGAAAGAAGGATTCAACTATCGAACATAGGGAGTCCTAGAGCAACAAAAGAATTTTGCTTTGCTGTGAAGGTCACCTGGCAGAGAGAATTGGAGAGGTACCGCTGAATGGGTGTTACCGTAATCCTGGTTATGATTAGAGCGCGTTAATAAATTGGGGCATGATTCGAAGGGGACCTCCAAGCCAGTAGACTTCCTGTAGTCAAAAGAGAATGAATCCTTTATGGTATTACGTTTATATAGATTTATGGTAAACTTCAGCAGATAGACTATCCTGTAAGTGGTTTTTATGCAGCGGTAGGTAGATTTTATGAACCAAGTATTCTAGAGATTGATCTACATCAAAGATGATTGGAAACCTGTGGAATTTGAATGGGGACAGTTCAGGTGTCCCAGAAGTGTTGATTTCAAATTCTCCGTTGTTTTTTTTTTTGTCATGAGGGACTTCTCAAAAGCGGTTCAGCAGACGTTACTTACACCTCCGATACTCTCTGGGGTGAATGACACTGGCTTGACCCATGAGTAATGACGCTTTTTCTAACTCAGAATCTCGCGTAAAGATGAAACATTTTGCTACTGAGTTCTTTGGCATTTACCAGAGATGCTTGGAGCACTACTTAATGGATAGGTTTTCGCACTGCAAAAGGTGACTCAGTTTTATTCTAGTCCAAGAATTTTAGTACTTCTACTATCCAGTGACATTAAATAAGATGATGTGAGCTTTTGCATATTCCTATTGAAAAATATGAGCAGTGCAAATCAGCGTCACTTCTGAGACGCTTGAAGTGTCAACATTCTACTTCACGGTTTCGAATTATCTTGGATGAAAATTACTTCTAGGATACTTGCCACTGCTCATATTTCTTGAGGCTACAAAAATCACCATCATCTTCTTTAATCATTTCTAGGATAGTAGGAATACTAAAATTCTTATTCGCTGAAGTTTACTATCGTTCTAGATACAAACCAATTTAGCAATACCATAATGCAATTAATTCATCTTCTTTCGACTACTGGAAGTCTACTACCTTCGAAGGCTCCTGCGAAATCAATCCATCGCGGCGCTCCAAATCACAACCAAGATTACGTACAACCATTCACACGCGACCTCAAGATCTCTCTGTGCCTGTGTGAGACGAATATGTTGTTTTGACTCCGAACTTTGTCAAAACTACATTTTTGCCTTCTTACCTCGACGGAACGTGAGGCTTTATTTCTGCTGTACGATACAACTATCTCGAAAAACCTTTTCGCGACACAATAATCTGTTTCGCCAAGAATCGTTCAATTAACACACCTTCCTATATGATCAATGAGTGACAATGGAATAGTTATATGTAATCCCTAAGTTGAATAGAATCACAACATTTCATAGGACAAAGTAACTGTACAAATTGTGAAGTTGACCCAAGTCCTGCATCTATGTACATGGTAAAACGTAAACTAATAATAACATCTAGTGGAAGCAAATAATAAGTGGATAAGTTGGTTGCTCCTGTGGCACCGCCTTGTCGACCGATAGAAATACGTCGAAGCGACCTCGTGTAACGTGGAGGGTTGATGTGGTAGTCCCTCTGTTGCAAACTTCCAGTGTCCATATCTGAATGATAGAAGTTCTACGCCTGAAAATAAAGTATAGTGATGATTACCCTAGATCGGTGTCGGCTCTATGTAATGGAGCATCGAGGAAGTAGACTTCCAACGGCCCACTCTTTTGATATCGTCTTGGCTAACGCCTCTCCTCAATGCCGCAGTCGCTGCCCCTCCCCGTAGGGAATGCGGGGTTAAACCCTTGTGATGCAGTCCTGCAGAACGAAAAATGTCGTTCATGTGCTTTCTCAACGCATCTGTGGAAGAGGGGAGTCCCGGGCAGGAAGAGAAAAGGAATTCTTCTCCTGATCCCTGAATGAACTGTTCGAAGAATTTATCCCAGAGAATTTTATATGTATCCACCACTTTGAAGGCCACTGTTTCCCCTTTCTTAAACTGGTCTGTCTTGGATCTGGGTATATATAGCCACCAAATCCCTGCGCCTTTGTATTGAAGTGATTCTTTGACATAACTGCCTCGCGATCCTATAAAAAAGGCCCAGGAAATGAAATAAGGATGGCACAGGCGCCTCGAATATTTCCCTGCGAATCGTTTTGTAACGCCCAATTAATTATGACGCCTATGTCCTCCTCAGAGGCTTTCTTTCTATGCCTCACTGAGGGTGTTTCTCTTTTCGCTGAATCTATTAGCAGCTTTTGGAGCTCTGCTTCCCCGCCTTTCAACCCACCGTAGAAGAAATTCAAGGAGGCTACGGCCATAGGGATGCATTTAAGCTGTTGTTTATGAATTAAATGTGCTATGAACAGGTTTCTAAGCTTCCCCAATTGTAGGCGCATTGAGGAGAGAAGAAGCCGAAAGCCTCGAAGCGATATCTCATGGAGGAGTAAGCGGACATCGTGCTTGGTGCCAGAGAGCAGTTGGCGGATTTGCCCACGATCTGAGCCAGTTCTTCCTGTCCCTGGTTGCGAGCAATAGCGATCGTATCACACCATGCCATCCACTTCTCGCCTGAACGAGACACCATGAGTTAAAGAGGGGAGGGTGGGTGGGAGCTCAGTAAGCAGAAAATAGCCGGAATGGCTTAGCTTGCCCCGCCATCCAGGGGATGCGTGACCCGGCACGCCCATCGATGACCCGAGGTCTCGCAAGGGCGCGCCTCGCTGAGGCGCTTGCCCTTGCGAAATACCCTACTAACCGTCTCGTAGCCTACGCAAAACAACGATTTTGACTCCGAAACTTCGTCAAAAACTACATTTTGCTTCTGCTACTCGACGGAATTTTTAAAGCGCGAGGGTACAGAGAAATCAACTTTAGCGAAGACGAAGTCAAAATTGACCGATGGGGATGAAAAGGTGAAAGATGATGATGCGTCTTTTATGAGAGCACTGCCCTTGGTAACGACAAAAGTGTCCAAAACCCCCGGGATCCACCCCGTACTAGTACGGAGCGACGAGAATAAGATGTGTGAAGGCCAAAGAGGAAAACCCAATACACCCTTACTACCAAACCTCCGAGCTGTCGAAATTGTTCGCACAATCAAATGAGGAGGAGGAACCCACCAGCAATAATACTCACACCAGAACCTCGATGAAGTGTCACTGAAGATTCTGTGTGTGTATGCAGTTTCTCGCAAAACCATCTGGAAACAAACGTTTCGCACTTCTTGTTATTTTCGTCTGCGAACAAGTCAACCTCGAAAGGTCCCCAAGTTCTATTCAATTTGTCAAAAATGGAATCAAGAATGGACCACCCATTCAAGTCAACAAATTTCCGAAACGCCCTGTCTGCCTCACATGTGTATGTGTGCTCCTGGGCATCCAGAATGATCCGTTCTGTATCTATTTATTGAGATGTCCCGCTGTTTCCCAAATTTGGGTGGCTAGCTCTTGCAGCGCCTTCTTCGAACTACCTTTGTAAAATATTGCCTGAGCAGCTTGACTATCCGTCTGAATTTGAACCTTTTCGTTACTAATCAGTGAGCCAAATGATTTGAGCGCTTGCAAGATACCGAACAGTTCTCTGGCTGCACTTGAAGCTTCCCTCAGAACGAGTGGAAGTGGGGATGCTCTGGCTATGAGATTATATGGAACCTCTGTGTAGAGAGAGTGTACGAAAACTGTTCCACTCCTGAATTATTGACAGCGTCGTGGTTGAAATTACGAAAAAGTCGCGGAAAACCCCCCGAAAATTGTGCAGATCCGTTTTACTGGCGTCTAAGAACTGCAGCCAGGAGAGACTCTCTTCCCTTTCTTCTGATGTGAAAGGCCTATCTCGTGATATCTGATTGGCTACCCGCTAGATACTTTATCAGCGACTTCTGAAATCACTGCGCGATTCCTCTTAGATAAATCCGGAGGGATAATCAAATGCATTGAGGCAATGGTGCCTAACAGTCTGCTTCTCAGAGAAGGGTTCCTGGTTTTCAATAAAGAACCTATAATCATGCTCATTTTCTCCTTTCTTTCTAACGTAATGTCAAGCGACATTCCTTTAAGATCGATACTATGACCTAACCAGGTGTCATTTTCTGGCATGGCCGCCAAACCACACTTTTCCTCTGCAATGAAAAACCCATCCTCCTCCAAATCCGTCCTAACAATGGCAGAAAATCTGTTACATTCGCTCTCTGAACCAGCCCAAATTAGTCGTGTCTAGTATAGATTTATTCGACACCTATGCCTTGAGATCTCCATCTCGCTAACAGGGGGCGGAAGAGCTTAGTGAAAATGTATGGAGCTGGGGAAAGCCCGAACGGCAGTACGTTGAAGGCGTAAGTTTGGTTCTCCCATTGGAAACCCAAGTACTTTCTGAAACTCTCGTGCACCCGGACATGGTGATAGCCCGATCGAAGGTCAAAACAAGTCATGAAGCCATGACACGTCAACAGGTCTCTAACCTTTGACAAATCTTCGAACTTTATATGGACCTTCTTCGAGATACTTGTTCAAATCTGACAAGTCTAGAATAAGACGAAGTTTCTTACCTTCTGCAACTGAGAGGGGATTTATGCTGATACCCGTATTGGTACATACAGAAATAGCATTAGAACCAAGTAGAGATTGAATCTGATCTGAAACAAAACTACTATAAACTGCTGTAGACCCCCTGTTGCTTTCTATGAACCTAAGGCTAGGTTCCGCCAAAAATTTTGGGAGGAAACCCTCCTCTAATGTTTTCCTGAGAAACGTAGGAATGTTTAAAGACAACCAGAACTCTATTTTCATATGAATATTACCTGAAATAAACGGACTGCTTTCCTCACTTGTATTTCCTCGGAAATTTGCATTCGGTCGCAAAGTGTCCGAACCGTCCGCACTGATAGCACATGTCCTTACTTGAGGCCCTCTGCTTGTAGGACGAAGTTCCATTCTAGATCCGTCAGAAGTGCCTTGGAACTCCATTTTGGGGTGACCTCGTGCTCTCTCGGGCATGTACTGAGGAGGTGCGGGAGCCCATGCCGCCCTCTGAAATCGAAAGGGAGTTGAGCCGCCGTGATAGGGTTCGAAACGGTTCGATTTCCATGTCGATTTCTTCTTTGTTTCCTCTTTCTCTTTCTTTTCAAGAATTCCACCAAAATAGGGTCTTTAGTTGTTTCAGCCTTCTTTTGCTGATCATAAAAAGCGAAGACTGATACGTCTCCGTCAGCGACCACTAGTAGTTCGTTTCTAGCTGAGAGCAGCGATACGGCGTTTTCCAGTCGCTCCTTTATTTCGCCTTCCTTTGCCACATTGATGACTGGGCGAATGATGTCCATTATCTCTTCGTTAAACTTGAATTGCGCGTTC